CATTAACTACACTTAGCCCGGCTTCAAAGGCGAAAACCGCAGCATATATCTTACACTCTAGCTTCGCGCCACCGCCTCGCCGCCGCGCCGCCGCCACACCCGAAAGGGTGCAACAATATATTATGATCTTACTTATAGTAAATAAATGATTCCTTTCAATGGATATTCAAATCCTTCCGAAAACTTCGGACGTGACCAAACTCAAGATTAGAATTACCATCAGAATCGGAAACATACCGTAGCGTAGAGGCGCTGGAGACGTTTCGAGAATTCGGCGCCTAACTTAGGAGCTGCGGTCCTCAAGCCTTATTTATTCACACACAAAGCTCTGTTCTCTCTTAAACAAACATACACGTGCTAATGTATTCTCGCGTTTTGCTGTGGTTTTCTGTCCGCCCGGTCTATGCATAGGCAGGATTCACACGAAAACGTATATCACTCGATATTTGGCGGGATTGTATAGAAAAGTATTGGGGATGAAAGATTAGGGGTGATCCTACACCGGTAGTTGGCAAGCATCGAAATATCGAATCAACTTTACTAAAAATACTGGTTTCATTTTAAATTTTGCGCAAAAACGGATCATCCACGCGCAGAAGCACAAAACAGCTGTTACTTTAGATTAAATATTGTAAATCATTTTATAAAGCTGCAACTTGCAAGTATCCAAACGCGAAAATTTGCATTCGATTGGTTGAACTTAAGGGTTAATTTTTGCGTTCGGGTACTTTCAGCTTTAATTTGGGTTTTCAGGATGAGAACTTTTGGGAATAAAATACTGAAATCTGCTTCTAGGCGTGAAAGATCCATTTTTTACAGATTACAAAAAAACAAGTACTCAGTAAATGTTGGTAGGTATTTTAATGCTTGCATATACTCTAACCAGAAATTCACCTTAGGTGCATAATCATTCTAACTTTAACTTAAAATTTATAATTTAAACTATATTTCTGGATGATTTTGACGCCAGCCAAGAAAGTGGCTGTAACACTGTAACAGCCAAAACTATAGTTTATTCAAACTTCTGGCTAACTTAACCAAAATCGGCCAAGTGCAACTACTCTCCTTTCTAGCGCCAAAATCAGCCAGGATTATATTATGTAAAATCATCATAATGTATCTCCCGTGTGGCATGAATCTTGTGGTCTTCCCCTAATTTTTTCGCGTTCGGAAGCTGTGTTTTCTCTTGTCTCTCAATAGATTGTGATCCATCGAGGCATATTTTTTTACGTTTCAGTCGTCGAAAATGCATCTCACGATTTGAGCTTTTTACAGGATCATTATTATGAACGCTAATGAATTTCTGACCAAAATTTTACAGGATGCCTGGGAAGAGCTTTGCACCTACACGAGTTTGGCCATTGTTTCAGAGCAGCCTGTTTGCTTTAGTTGCTTTGCGGTTGACATTTCAGCGTCCTTTTTTTCGTTACAAAATTATTTAAAAGACACATTCACCTAAATGCGCGAACATCTGCTCTGAATAAATTCCATATTTATGGGAGTCAGAACTCAGATTTGTTAGCGTGAAGGCAGTCGCGTAAGCATTTGGCAGAAAAAAGACGGGTCACCCGAATGGGTTCATGCATGTACAAAACAATCCCAAAACCCTGCATGGACCCGTTAGACATAGTTCTTTTGACTGTCCGTGCCGGTGCGTTTAAAAATATAGGCACGTAAAAAACAAAAAAAAAAATAAAAAATCCCGACAAAAAAAGTTCGCTAAAAAAAATCGTATAAAAGGTCGCGTAAAAAATCAGTGCCGAAAAAATTTCCACCTTTGCAATGGAAGAGATGTCTTCGTAATAATCGCACTTTTTTCATCCCTTTCCTGAGAAGACGAAAAAAATCAACAACTGCCTCTCACACGTATTTAATTGTTCTGACCCCCGAGATGGGGTTATTTGCATAATACAGCCCTATTGAATTTGTTTTAATTTTTACAGCTGCATATTAATTAGGAACATCTTTTTATCTCAGACGCGAAGGGGTGAAACCAGTGCGCCATCCCTCGGCACTGATAGCTCCACTCAGCATTAACATTTTTAATTATTTTTTCCTCCAGGTACTATTTTATCCGTTAATTTTTTCATCTCTTTTTTGTTTAGGCGCTTCTTCATTAGGTTTCTTTTCTTTCAGGAGATGCGATTGTGTTTCATTACGGACGATCTTTTCTCAGCTCCGCGGTGTTCGGTTTTTTCGTCACACGACCCTACCCAGCGGATGATATGAAAAACTTCGGAATGAACGTAGGAAACAATACAGAAATAATTCATTTTCTACGGGCCATAACTGGTTTTCGACGGATCCGCTGGTCTATTTTACGGCCACGGCCGGGACCAATAGCATTTCTAGGTGCTCATTAACGGCGCTGTGTGCATACGATAGAATCCGTTTGAAAAAACGAAGAAAAAAATCAAGAGCCAAAAAAATCATAGTTTCACCTTTCATTCATTTTTTACACGTACATTTCGTTTACTTGCTCGCATTTTTTTATTATCATCGGTGCAAGTTCTTATTTTTTCTCGGGATTTTTTGTCTTTTAACCTTCCGGAAGCACCTCAGTTTATAAAGCACGTGCACATGTTGGAATTTTTGATGTGTGTTGGCGCCGGTAAAATTCATCCGTAACTAAGATACGCGTGGTATTTTTATTTTTATTTTTTCAATTTTTTTTGCTTAAAATATGCTAATTAATTAAATTTTTCAATTATTTACTTTACGATTCATAATTATTTTAGGTCTGTTTCTTTAGACCGAGGTAAATTTTGGAGAAAACCTATTAATTGCAAGAGAGGGAGAGGGTACGATTTTCGATACAATTTTTGCGCTTGTGCACGTGCTGAAAATATGTTTATGTTGGAGCCGGTATAACTAATCTATGAGAAAAACACACGTGACATTTTATTTTCTCTCCCTATAAATTAGACGTTGCTGTCAAACGGAACTATGTGCGTTATGGCGTGAGCCATAACGCATATATTCTTAAGGATTTCAGGGCTCATGTCTTAATGCACGTAGTTCCGTTTGGCAGAAATACGTCCAATTGAAACCACATTAATTATTATATTATAATAATCCTTTTATCAAGCATCCTAAAATATATTCTTCTATCTCAACACAGATTTTTATTTCTTTTTTACGCTCACGCGTCTAATTTTCATCCCATTCCGACAAAAAACACTTTGCCGCACATATCTACATACGGTCTAAACTAAAAATTTCGTATCTCCATTCAACATTTTTACAATTTTTTTCGACAAAATGGTGTTTTAGTGGAAAACTAACAAATATTCATCCATAATTTTTTCGAGTCAATTCTCATCTACCATCAGGGACTCAAAATGAAAAAAATAAGTATCATGCAAACACCGAAAAAAAGTAATGCTTATTTGACATCCTGGATGTAAAAAAGTGTGCGATAACTCACAAAACGCTAAATTAACCGCTACAGCAGTTACTTCAGAAATGTCAAGTTGTAAAACTAACTGCCGTGGCGGTTAATTCAGCGTTTTGTGATTTCTCGCACACTTTTTTACAGCCAGAATGTAAGATCAGCATCCCTTTTTTTTCGATCTTGGGTGTTCTTGCAATGAGGCAGTATGTGTGAGAGACAAATACCAAATTTGGAATGGAGTTACGGCGCATTTGCTATGGAAGGCAGATACTGCCTCTGTGGGCTGTGGTCCTATTTTTCGTGGATGGTGACAAATACATAGAATCCGGCAACATTGCCGAAGAGACACTTGCGAACGGCCGTGGTATGCGTGTCGTGGACATCGGGGCTGAGGCTAAAACCGCCGGGCTCTTGCGATACCGGGGAAATAAAAACCGAATCAATTTAATCGCCCGATAGAAACCAGATCGAGATCCTCCAAATGCACCGATTTTTTAGGGAAAAAACCGAACCGGTTTCGGGCGGCCGCGCGGCACCGCGACGATCGCTGCAGGTATTTCGCCCGACATTCTAGCGAGTTTACCTCCACTTTGACTTGACCTTAATTAACATTTCGAGCCCGAACTTTTATCAGTAATTAACTTATCCCGCCCTGCCAAACGAAAATCGCTCAACTGCGATGGGATCTTCCCGCGGATACGCGGTTGTTCCTCGGCTCGGGGTTCCTCAAAATTTTAACGAGGCGCTCGGAATGGATAGAGCGACTGGATTCGGAGACACGGTTCTAATCGTGTTGACAGATTCACCCCGGATTTGGAGCATGGCGGTGTCGAATTTGAGCGTTTCGGAGCACGAATCGGCAAAGATTATGCGTGGGTATAGTCAAAGCGTCCAATCCGAACGAGAAAAAGTTCTTCCTGCCGTAAGAAACGTTTTTTCGAGGTTTCCTGTCGATTTGGCACACGTGGAGGTCGCATTGTCCTTTTCAATTTTTTTGACGGATTATACAGCGTAGTTTCCGCGTAAACGAAAAGTTTGCAGCTGTGTCCCATGCTGTATGCGGCCTTACAGCAAAACACTCCAAATGCCGTTTTCTATCCTACGAGACGCATGAGTTTCTAGAAACAAATTACTTTTGCAACGGGTTGCGAGTGCATGTTGCAGAACTTAGCATCGTGCTTTACGGCTCAGTCTCATAAACCAAGAAAAAAAAGAAACTAAAAAAAAGAAAAAAAAAGAAAAAAAATGTTTTTAACCCTACGTTCCTACGTCCAACATCAATGGTGATATGCGCGCTGTTTTAAAGTGCAGTAAATGAAGTCCTTTTTTTCTTAACGATAGGGAAAATTCTGGGTCTCTGCCTCTGGATAGAGCACCATCACAACGGAGGTATGGACACTTGTAAATCCACTTATAGACCCAGACCCATTTCTGATTGAGAAACAATTTGAAATGACGGTAAATGAGGTACCTCGAGAATAGGAGCCCTCCATATCTTTTTAGTCTCCTTTGTCTATAGCTTTGTCTATCAATTCCAATAACTATCATTCCACAGGTCCTGAACGTCATTCCGTAAAATATAAAGAGAGTGGTGGTATGAGCTTACCTCTACGGGTCCGCCGTTCCACATGTAGTGCATGGTCTCGTGGTGGTGGGTGTTGCTGTTCATGTGCTCGGCCATGACGGACATCCAGTGGACGAGACCCTGTCCCTGTCCCTGCCCGTGTCCGTGACCGTTGGAGCCCCCCTGTTTCCCGCCCCCACCCGACCCCGCACTGCTGTTGTGCGACTGATTCGCCTCCGAGGGTGACCAAACAAACGCCGTTTTCTGAAACACAAGTGTAAAGCACACTCTTTTAGACACAAGAAAAATGTAATAAAATTGACCAGGGTTACCTTCAATCCGTAGTTATCCGACGAAAACATGTATGGCTTCATTCTAAGATTTTAATATTGGCTCAAACAGTTTAATTTTTACAAATAAACATGACTGCAATTTTTTGTTCAAAATTGAGCTAATTTATACATAATATTCGACGAAAATTCAATGGAATTTTCATTTTGATACGTCCAATATAGTTTCCTGGTAAAAGTACAATTTGCGACTGGAAATTTAGCAGCGTTGGAAAAACGACGAATTGTATGCATAACAAAAAAAACAATCCGTGTTAAAAAATGGTAGCTTTTTGAAGCATCAATAATTCAACGACACACATTTCACTGTTTTCCTCATAATACTGCAGAAAAACGTGATTCATGAAACATGACCTACAGACTTGTGTAGTCAAAGTCTTTAACGCTTCCATTAGAATTTCTGAAAGTAGAACAGGACAGAGTGAGAAGTGTGACAGGAAAAATAAAGAGAGAATAGAGGCCAAATAAGTAGAGGAAGATGAGGATGAGGATGAGAAGGATGGAAAGGAGACAGTTGAATGAGTAGGAGCAAGAAAAAGAACAGAATAAGGTTGAGGAAGATAAGGAGGATGAGGAAGATAAAAAGGATAAGAAGGGTGAGGTTAGGAAGCAGGAGCAGAATGATGTGGATGACGAAGATAAAAAGGGTGAGGAAGGGAAGGACAAAAAGGAGCAGTAGTAGGGTGTGGTGGACAAGAGGGGAAGAGAGTGGGAGTATAAGTAGAGCACAAAATCAAAGAGGACGAAGGAGAAAAATAATGAAAAAGGGGAGAAGGAAAAAGGAAGGTTTTTGGGCTGCATTTTGCATGAAGGTATCACAATATCTAGCTCATTGTTAAAAACACATATAAACATAGGAAAACTAATGGTATATACTTTGTTTCTAAACTGAGCCAGAAATTTTAGCTCCTAACTGGACCACATTTTGCGGTTGGGCCCACAATTTCAGGCTCATCCTTAAAATCACCTACCTACATAGGGAAACTTATGGCACATATGCTGTTTTTAAACTGAGCCAAAAATTGTAGTTCCTTATCACAAAATTAAGTCCAATTGTAAAAGCGTAGTCCATTACTACCGTGCTAAGGAAGAACGCCGTATGAACATTCGAGAGTTGCCAAATTTCCCTCACTAAAATGTCTATTTTGGAGGAAATTTATGAATATTTTTCTCTGAAATTTTCAGGAACTTTGGATGAAATTGCGAGCAAAATTATCTGAAAAATTGGAAGAAAAATATTCATAGGTTTACCGAGAAAGTCGTGTTTTATCAAAGGATATTTGAAGGTTCATACTGCGTTTTTCCTTAGCACGGCAGATTAGTCCCCTCCCCGACTTTGCCCAGAAAGTTGGAGGGACGAACCTCATCGGGAGCGAACTTGGGAGCCGGGCTGCTCCTGAGGGACGGCGGGTCCGTCGAGACGGAGTTGTCGTCGGAGGCGTCGGCCGGGCGCTTCTGCTCGAAGAGGGACGTCGCGTAGGCGGACTTGCCGCCCAGCGCCGCCGCCGCCGCCTTCCCGAAGGCGGCCACGTTCGCTGCCAACAGCTGCTTATAGTAGATCTCCGCCGCCGACGTGGAGGCGGAGCACTTCTCCTCCACCTTGATGTCCGCCGGGTCGATGAGCTCGCATTCCTCATCCTCGTAGTTCGGCTTCCTCCCGGGAGAGGGCGCTGATGTATCCAAACCGGTCTCGGACGCGCTCCTCACCGGCGCGCTCATACCATTCGGCGGGTGCCTCCGCGTGAACTCTAGCTCGAACGGGCGTAGCTCGAAAATCTTGCCGGCCGTCGTCGCTTCCGATCACTTGAGATCAAAGTTCGAACGATCAATCGAACTCCTTCGATTTTCGGGAAAATCGACAGTGCCCCATCCAAATTTCACAAGTTTTAGGTCACAACCTGGGCACGCGCTCACAATTTTAACCGGTTTCGATTCTCGACGTTACAGCCACATGCGGCTAAAATTTTCAAGGTGGACATTCAGAAATACTTTTGCATCGCTTTATAATTAATAATGACATTCTTCCGGGGAAAGTGGATGTATGTTGTTTTTTTTCGCACAAAAATAAACAGCACCGAAAAATGCATTTTGAAATGCTCCAGGAAACACGGAAACGAGAACACTCAGCACTGAAGTTGTCGCGAAAATGCGAAAAGTTGGGAATGAACGCAATGAGGGATATTTGACAGAGCGCACTATTCACTGAAGTTGATGCATCTTGAACATTCGAGCCCTAAGGATCAGAATTTTAAGCGATTGGTCACAACGATTTGTTTTCATTATTTTCTGCGGAACTTTTATTTATAACGACCTCCTCGGATTCTAACCTCCTTGATCTCCCAAGATATTTGGGGTAAAATCATAAAACATTTCAAAGTGTTCGATAGAAGTTTTCACAAAAACGTTCGAGAAACTTGCCATCGTTTCCACGTTAGGGAAAAGCACTTTCGACATAGCGGTGGTGGTCTTTTAAATCACGAATCTTGCTTCAGTTATAAACGTCACTAAGAAGAAAAGCCAATTTTCAAAACTTTTGAAACATGGAGGGAGGGAAACATTCTTTAAAATATTTAGAACATTTTGTTGAGAAACAAGAAAATTAAGAGAGAGCGGAGAAGGGGCATAACAAAGCCTTAAACAAACCTTAACCTTAATTTTAACTTCTATGCAGAGTTATACGATTATAAAATTTATATAAATATTATTTATTTAGCACGAAATATACGAAAAAAGGAGGAAGTTTTGCTGCACGCATGAGCACCAGTGTTATGATCATATATATAAGAAAATCAAAGTTTGATTTAAACTTTAAAATTCATAAAGCGTTAGACTCAGAAATATACAAATCAGAACGTATGTTTACATGGGCTTGTGTTGCAAATAGAATGACACATTTTATCGTATGGGCAACAGAAAATTTTTGTTTACACTCTCTCTAGGTCAAATAAGAATTCATTTCAATTTTGTCTTTCAATTTTAAGGTTAATAATTATGATACCAATAAATATTTTTGGAAATTCCAGAGATCATAAGACCTTACGCTTTCCTCCGAGCACTCAAAAGATTGAAAAAGAAACCGTGGAAAAATAAAATAGCGTTTCAAAGATTAATCTCAAGCTTGATCCACTTTATCAAAGAACATCGAAGAGCCTAGTTTTTGCGCGTTAAATGTGGTTTAATCACAGAAAAATTGATGAAACTTCGACTCTATGTAAAACTTTTACGGCCCACTTATGAGCAAGTTCAATGGAAAATGACTGAACACGCTTCCACAGCACGATGCAACTGACCAAATCAAAACACTAATGCGTAGATTAGTGCCACATACGTCAGAGCGGTGTTGCCATTTTAGCGAAAAATCATTCTATTTTGGAGAGGGATTTCGATACGATCCCTCCGACATTCGTCTGACGACTGGCAACTCTCTATCCGTGTCTCTTCCCGGAAAATCATAGTGGAAATTTACCATTGATGTGCGTTTGGTATTTATCCAAGTGTTCGTGAATTTGAATTGACTGAGATGAAAGACAGTGATAGTAACAAACTAATCAACACCGGAACGGCGGTTGACACGTTAAAAAGCGCGCAGTTGTTTAAACTAAATTACTGCAATTGCTGGGATGTTTTGTGTTTAATCTTGGGGATCGGGTTTGTTTACTTTTGGGTCCGCTCCGTCCCGATTAAATTTTGAAGGAGGTCCTTCCAGCGCACGGGGCATTTTTTGTTGTCTTTCCTTGAGTCCTGTTTACGGGATTTTTCCGGAGGCCGTTTCAAAAATTAACACGCGTGAATTGCGCGCTACGCGAGGTACGCGTTAAGTAAACGTCTGGGTGAATTTATATATTTGTTCACCGTTTGATGAATGGCACGAATGATATATTAACGAATCGTTTTCATGCCTGCAAGAAAGATTCGTCGGCCGCCAGATGAAACATTGCGAAACTTGCCTATCCCTGACTTACAAACGAATGCGGGTTTTTTATAAGACTATCAATAAATGATAAAATTCTAATAACACGAATCGGGATTTAAATGTTAGGTTTCTTTAATAGTGATCATAAACTCTGCAGATTATAGATTTAAAAAAAAAAATTAAAGAAAAAAGGAATAAGAAAATGAATCAATGTTTTTCATGGCCTAGGTACTAGTTTTGGAGAAAAATACCGTGTATTTACATACTGTTGAAAAGTTGGTTGATACCACCGTTACTATTATTTGTATAGATTTATTCCTTCAGGTCTATTTTTGGTAACTCAGGGCATTTATTTCCAGATCATTTGTGTAAGTGAAGTATTTTTTCATGACACCTAAAACTGAAAATATGCATTGCAAGTGTAGATTCTTGGAATTTTCAATCATTTTTTATTCCCACAAGGGTAATCAAACAATTTTCTTATTGAGATTTACTTGCAGTACCTTTCTTTAAAATTCCGGAAAAAATTTAGCCATTCTATAAAAAAATAGCGTTGAATATCTCCAAAATGACAAACGAGACACACTTGAAAATTTGCAACCTCAGAAGCTGAAGTCCGTTTTTCCAGTATTTGAGGCCTTAGATTAGAGGAGTGTCAATGTTTTCAACAAAATTTTAGATGGTACGCAATTTTCGAAAGTAAACTTTTTATCATTTAATTCCTCATATTTTGAATGTTTTAATCATCCTTCGAACAGTTACTGCCGATCCAGATTTCATTTAATTTCAAATCTTCAAATATCTAATTATAATAAGTTTCAGTTTTTACCATTTTTTTTTTGGGGGGGGGGGTCCAAATTAGTTTCTTTTGAGTTAAATAAGTTTAAAAGTAGTCTTAAATTGTTGGTCTTAGTCTCGCTTAGATTTTAAATTTTCAACATTTCAATGTTTTCAATTCCTCAAGCTTTATGAATTATTGTTCAAATGGTTCAGTTTATCGAATGTCTAAATTACTATATTTTTCAATTTTTCATTCCTCCAAGTTCAAAATTGTATTTTTTAATATTTAAAATTTTAATATTTGTTTCTTTTCATTTTTTATGTAGTCATCTGCAATGCGGTTGCAGAACCCTTGAGGACGTACAAATGAAAAACACATATACAATATGTAAAAAGTACACGTGTACATCGTTGCCATTATAGAACGCATCGGTTGAGCACAATTACGAAATACAGATTAATTACTTGAGAGCCGACAACACCGGACGTGCATTATGGCGTTAATTCCTAAGCGCAGGACAAGACCAAGCGCGTGGACAATCGAAGCTTGGGGGGTGAAATTCTGCTACTTTTGCAAAGGGCGAATAACAAGAAATCGCTTAGGCGGAAACAACACGATCAATTATTCAGAAGAGAGCATTGCGACGAATATACACAGGTTGGATAAATTCAAGGAATTAATTTTACTTTAACCGATTTAAAGGCTTTCACCGAGTTTTGTAGGAGATTTATTAGAAAAGATGTAGCTGCCCAGATGCAAACGCACTTGGAGCACATTGCGAAAAACACACACGAGAAAACCTTCACATTTTTAAGAATTAAAAAAAAAAAAATCAAGGGGCAAAAATTTAAATTTCAGTTAAAATGGTCCAGCAACTAGGGAATCCTGTAAGCCCTCTCGTATTCATTGCAGGGATTTTAAAAATCGAGAATTTGCACCATAAGGTAAAATAGAAAAAATTAAAAAAATAACAATTTTTCTTGTTGAAAACACACTTTCTGACCGGAGATTCACTTTTCACAATATCCGACTCAATTTTTGGCACGCACTCGAATTTTTCCTTCCTCGACTGCATTTTATGTTAGAGGCAACATAATGCAGGCGACTTTCGACCACGAGAAATTAGCGGCCGCGTTGGCGATCACATGTAATGCACGCACGATGACGTCACAGAAAGCTGTGACGTCAAGGAAATTTTAAAAACGGCACAGGACGGGAACACGAGAACTCGGAAAAAGCGGAGCGACGTGTACCTAGAGCAGACGACTGCTCAATCTGAAAGCTCGAAGCTTTTACCGCTCGAAAACGGCAAGTTTCATACGCGGTATACACTCTTATATACGATTTTATTTTATATTTTTTTTCCCTCCGAGACAGAAATAAAAAGGGAAAGAAAAGAGGGCAAAAAGAAAAAAAAGCAGCCCGAGGAAAAAAGACCAAAGGAAGAAAAATGAAAGAAAATATTGGAGCTGCTTCTAGAATGATAGGAACTTGAAGACTGAGAAAAAAAAATACCTCACATGAGAAAGAATACATACAAAACAAAAAGAAAATAGAGCTTGTAGGAGCTTTCAGGCAGGGGACGCGGTGCAATATGGGAGTATTGAGAGTGGGAGGGGGGAGTAATGTATCTTTGCGGGATATAGGGAAGCCGGGATGAAAGAAACCAACTAGCTATGTATTTCTTTTTTCCCTTTTTCCATTTTTTATTTATTATTATTATTTTTTTCATATTATATTTTTCCCTCTCGCTTTTTTATTTCTTTTTTCCCCGTCCTTTAATTTTTTTTTCTTTTTCCATCTCATTTTTCTTTTTTCGACTCTCTCTCTTCGTATTACGTTTAAAGATGCAAGCACATACGCGTCTTATGTGTACACATATACTTATTCTTTTGTACACTCTCCGCGCTTATTCGAGCTTTTTATCACAAGCAAACGCAAAAATTCGGATATTCCGAGACGCTATAAAAGGCGCCTTCGTGTCTTTAAGAATGTTTTTCATCAGGACGTTGCTTTCGTCTGGCAGGTAGACGGTAAAGTTTGAGAGATAAAATTGCTGAGGAAAAAAGACGGATGATCATTGAAACCGAAACGTCTCAAATGGACGCGAGTTATATAATATGTATTAAAAAGGAGCATCGTTTTAAAATATTGAAAGAATAATTGCAATTGAGGAAATAAAATTCCGTCTACATATTTTTGCCTCCTAATGAATGCGAATTTTAAAGCTTGATAAGCGCATGAAATAAAGAAAGAAAAAAACGTATAAGTACTTTCAAATCATTCGCAAAATTTCAGGGAAGCACCCAAAGTTAACTCATATTGATTTTTAACCCTCTCTTAACTTTTTAAAATAATTTTCATCAATAAAGGAATTCCGTGTTGAATTTACCAAAAAGTGATCGAATGTGCTTTTGCATTGTCCTTTTATTGCGGAAAATCTACTTTCAGTTTTAAAAAGAATCCTGGATGGTGGCAAAGAGAGATATTTTCGGGATTATTGCTTCTTTAATTTCTTTCTTTCTTGCACTTGTTATTCTCCACACAAGCACTTGCATTTTGTGCTTGAAAGTGTCTCAAGAATGAGAGACTTCGGTGAATATGCTGAAGAAAAAATGTCATATTATACACTAAAAAAAAATCCTCTCGAGACATTATTTTGACTTAAAGCGTCGTTTCTTGTCGAAAAATATTTTCAAAATTTTTAGCAGATTTAACTATAAGTCAGTTTTTTTTAGTTAAAGAACGTTGTTTTGCCATTTTTTTTTAAAACTTAAACTTAAAAATACCAAAACAACGTTTCTCTAACTCAAAAAAGCATGACTTGAAGTTAAATCCGCATACGGATTTAATTTTA